GGAAACCTCTTTCTTTACAAGCTCATTAAAAAATGCAATTTAAAAAATGAGTTTGAACACAGGTACCCTTCATAGTGAACAATGCTTTCCTCAGAAGACAAGGGTTATTAAATGAAAATCTCAGTGTCAAATGGGACAACTATATCAATCCCCCAATGCTGAGAGAACATAAAAGAAGACATGGTAGAAAGAAAGAAATTGAGGACTGGGAAGAGTTCTGTGATATACTGTCTTCTGGATATGACACGGGCATTGCACCTATGGTTACCTGTCCATGAACTACAGACCAAGTCAGCACAGTCAGCATTCCAACAGGCAGTACTAACTGGACTCGGTAGGTTACAAAATATGTGGGAGGAAGGGAGATAGTGTTCTCATTTCAATGCTGCATGCAGCCCACATATCTTCCCATTCCAGTTTCACTAAACATCTTCTTACAAAGCAAGGCACACAGAAGTTTTCCACAACTCTCAAGTGCTTATGGGACACAGATTCATAGCCACAGCAATAGAAACTGAAATTTCTCTTGCTTTAGTTTGCATGAAAATGCAGGACTTTCAGCTCCTGTGTGAACTTTCTTCCCACACCATATGGCTACCTCAAGCACATTTAAAGCCCAGATACACCTCATAGGTGTTCATGACAGGTGCTGCCATTTCCCTACCCTGCCACATCAAGAGACACTGATACCTCCTGCTGGATGCACTGTTGATCCCCCACCTATCAGCTGATGTGGGTATTTCACCAGCTACCTCACCAGGTGTTATTCTTTCACCAAGCATGCTACTGACGACTTACGTCAAGCACTGCAGCTAACCCAGAACCCTCTAAGGGCCACAGGTACATGATCATCTGTGGGGGAAGTATGCCATCTCACCTTTAAGATATCACCTGTACAAGTACCCAAAACATGCTCTTAGTTCTATAGTTTTATCGACCTGAATGGCTCTGTTTTCATTTATTTTCTTCTTACTAATTATTTCTTAATTATAGACCTCTTTTTCAGACTAAACTCCAGAAATGTATTATTGCTATATTTTTCATATTTATCCATGCATTTCAAAGATGACTTTGGGTGTGTGTGGAAGAGTGGTATATGTATATTTTTACATGGGTTAGTGTATGTGTGCTTGCAAATGTACATGCATGTGTGCACATGCACATGGAGGCCAGAGGTCAATGCTGGGTATTTTCCTAGATATCTCTATACATTATTTTTTTAAATGTGGACTGTTTCAAAACCTTATGTGTTAGCTTTTCTCAGGGGCCTTGCTAACCCTGCATCATTCCAATTTTAGTATCTGTACTGCTGAAGAAAGTGTCACCTTATTTTTTGAGATAGGGTCTCTCATTGAACCTGGAGCTCAGTCAATTCAGGTACATTGGCTGGCCAGTGAGCTCCAGGGATCAGCCTGTCTCTGCCCCCACAGAGCTGGGCTTATAGAAGCATACCACCTCACCCAGATTTTATGTGGGTCCTGGGGTTCCAAACTCAGGTCCTCATGCTTACACAGCAGGCATTTTCCAATTGAAACATCTCCCCAGCCCTCTCATAATGATATATATAATTAATATCAGATCTTTTAGTGTTAAAGGTGAGGTGGCATGTGCTTTTAATTCAGCACTCAGGAGGCAGAGGCAGGTAGAACTCTGTGAGATTGAGACCAGCCTGATGTATATATAGTGAGCTCTAGGCCAGCTGGGCTACAAGGAAACCCTGTCAGAAAAACAAAGAAAAAAACCACCACCTAATGTTAAAAGGTACTTAGTTTATAAATTAAGTGGATTAACCAGAACTGAAATGAGGGATTAAGTTATTGAAATCAATCCACAAGTCATGTTGCAACAGACTTCAGGATACATTGTTGAAGACCAAAACTGCTCTAATTTTTAGTTCTTTACTCTAGTGTTTTGTACATGGCAACTTCATACATGATGATCTCAAGGCATCTCTCTACTTCTGTTTCAAATACTAGCCTACAGATTCTCTTCCCATATCTCCAGGTCAAATATCCAAGAAAGATACAGATTGGTCAGATTAACTACCATGGTTCTTATATAGATGTTTGTATCACAACATTTCGCAGGCTATTGATTTCCCTTGGGCCCACAATGACCACAAGGTAGTGTCATGTGATATGAGTAAGAATCCATGCATAGGGTCCCTCCATAAGGAGTCTGTAAAAGCGGTCAGAAGGCATGTTCAGGCATGACATCCTTCCACTAGGAAAAGAGAATTCTGGTATATACTAACCTTCAACAGAGATCATGTACTAGGCACTCAGTAAGTCCTCAAATATTTTTAGCTCTATGGTTTAAAGAATTTATCTCACTTCCTTTATATGTCACTTAAGTCCATTTAGAATATGTTTCCAATCTTGCTGTTGATACAAAACACAGCTCTCACCTCAAAGGGAGTTAGAGATTACTTAGTCTTGAAACAAATATGAGTGACCACAGCCCAGGAACACAGATTTAGGTGGCCACAAGTAACATATTCAAACATAGAAAAAGTTTTGCGAAGTTTTTGTAACTACAGAACAAAACAAAGTCATAAATCCAGGCATTTTTAAAATACATGCATGGAAACATCAGGTAGGTGGGTCACCGCAAAGTGGAGACATCCATGCTGTAGGTCCCAGATGCTATCTGCTGACAGCGGTGAAAGCCAGTGGTCTGATGAGTTAATACATTCCAGTTTCATGTGACAGTCACAAGGATGTTAGGTCAGACACAGAATGAAAGTTATTAAGAAGGCATTCCAACTTCTCACAATCATGAAGTTCTAATCAGTCAATTTCCCTTGTAGAATCTTTGTGTCTGTGGGCTGAGGGAGAATGTATATTCACGTCTGTGCCCACAGACAAGGAGATCAGAGGACAATCTTGAATGTCGTTCCTCAGACACTGTCCAGTTTTTGTGCTTTTGTTTGTTTGCGTTGCTCTTGTTTTTGAGAAAGGGTCTCTCTGGGTTAGGATTCATGAAGTAGGCTAGGCGACTAGGCTAGCTGGCCAGTGAGTCCTCCTCAGCACTGAGGTTAGAGGTACACACTACCACACACAGCTTCTCCTACAGACAGAGCTAGCTCTCCAGTTCCTTACCTTGTAGAATCATTAACATAAGTATGTGCTTTTTCTGAATGCTTTGATTCACATTAACCTGTTAATTTTCCCTTGAACTCTCTATGTAGTTAACATTTGTTGAATATGGACAATATACCTGGCACTTTTCTAAAAGTGTCATGAGTTAATTCTTTCATCTTCACAGCACAAAGTACTGGTTTTATTCCTGTTTTACCAATAAGAAAACTGAGACACAAAGAATTTAAATAATTTGCTTAGGACACATAAGGTGAGTAGGAATTCAAACTCAGGTAAGATGGCTTTGAAGAACCAAATTTAACCGCTACCCATAATTCTTTTCAAAAGTGGATGAAAATCACTAACATTCTAATAATAAGGAATATATGTGAATGGTCATTGTATGGTATTAGGGCTTCAAACACAATACTCCCAAATACGATGCCTTGGCATGCAGCATTTGAGTTAAGACAGAGAAGGCTTCATAAGTGAGGACTTTTCTGCCCTCAATTTTACCTTTCCAGGTCCCGGTTGGATCACAAAAACTAGAATTTCTCTCCAATGAGGTGGGTAATCTAAACCAGAATTCCTCTCTCCTAAATAAGCCATAAAAACCATAAACCCTAGAAAGGGAAAAAAAAAAAAAACAAAAACCAAAAACCCTAGGAAGGCATCTTATCCTTACATCCCCTGCTTTTCTGTGTGAAGTATAGTCATAAATGAAATTGTTGACCTACCCTCATTTCAGAACAATTCTTCTCTCTAGCTTTTGAAGTCAAGAAGAATTGAAGAACTTGCAAAATTCCTCACTCAGTTTACTGGTCAGATCCTGTCTATTTTGTCCAATCATGTTTCTCCACAACTATTCACTCCTTTCAGCAGACTATCAAACAATACTTTCCCTGCCTCACTGGGTCTTCATGTCTGTCCTTGTCAAGTTTGGTTTAAAATATAGTTTATGCTTTTTGTCTTGTAACTATTTTTTAAATATGGATTGTCAGCAAGGAACTCTGCAATGGCTGAGGAAATGGCGTTTTTTTCTTTAACAATGCCAAACTAAGTGTATACACCGGTACTCAAATGTTCTGTACCCTCCTTAATCAACAAGCGTCTATCTACATCAGACCTACAGCGAGAGACAAAGCTGTAACTTTTCTTCTAAGCACCGCAGTAGTGTGCCCCACAGGAGTTTGATGTTTCACCTTTGTTATTCAATTAAGTAGATGTTTTTCATTTTCATTGTGATTTCATCTGCCCACATCTTTGATACACTGTTTCAGTGTAGACATGGGAATTTCTTCTTCATCTGCTTCGTTTAATCCTGTGACAGAGAGAGTACTGAAGTGGTTTTTGAATATGTTGAGCTTTTGATTTATCGCTCAGCGCGATCGATTTTATGTTCTCTGTTCAAGGTTTTCTGTTTCCAACTACTCCCAAGAACTGGCTGTGGTTTAGAACACCCCAATGGTCTCTTCCACCTGTGTAAGTTAGCTCGAATTATCTTCCTTTCAGCTAGCTCTCTTCTCGATATTTCAAAATGCAGTAAGTATTGCTTCTATTTAAAAACAGCAAAGAGCAATTCGCCAGTCTAGTTCCCTGCTGGGGCGGGGAGGAGCAGGGCACGCGAGAGTCGGGGCGATGGGCGGGCCAACCAAGCAAAAGGAGGACGAGGGGCGGGCTGAGCAAGAGAAGGGCGGGGAGAGGGGCGG